TCCAGCGCCAGTAGCGCCTCGCGGGCCTCGAACGAGACCATCACCCGCGGCTTGGACGCCCGAACGTCGTACATGGCAACCTGTGCGCCCTCGACCGCCACAAAGTGTGCGCCGCCTTCGTCGCCCGGCCACGCCTTGATCGCACTCACCCGCCCCAGGCTACTCATGGACCGCACCATCGCCTCGGTCTCCACATCGTGCACGCTCAGCATACGCGCCCAGTAATGCCCGAGCGCTGCAGTACCCGCCGCGGCAGAGAGCGCCACCGAGTTGCCGCCCCACTCGCAGGCCGAGCCGGCCGGCGACGCCTCGCCAGCCCCGAGCACTGCCACTGACCGCACCGCGCCGTCGTCCCCCACCATCGCCACCGCGCCGCGCCCGCGCCCGTCGGCGAGCCCGACCCGCAGCCCGGCGCCATCGTCGCTGAGGGCCACCACAAGGTTCTGGATCTCCTCCAGGCCAGCGTCGGCCACATCGATCGCCTGCACCAGGTCGTCACCCGCCAGCGGCGGCTCGTCCACCGGCCAAGCGCTCCCCTCGGGCTCGCTCATCTGCGCACCACCCGCATACACCGTCGTCCCTGTCGCCATCCACACCGCCGCCCCACTCACCGCGCCCGTCGCCAGCCCCACCCGCGTGCCATGGACTGAGCCCGGGCTCCACCTCTTGCCATCCTCGCCCAGCACCACCCGCTGCCTGTGCACCCGCTCCATGACCTAGCCGCTCCTTGCCTTGCCTTGCCGTTCCGTGCCTTGCCTTGCCTCGCCGTTTCCTCAACCGGTCAGAGTCAGGTGCCCGTCCCCGTCCCCGTTCTTGTCCACCCCTTCCGTCTCCCATCTCCGGTCTCCCGTCCTTCCTCTCCTCCCTCCCTCCGCCCCGCAACTCTGTAGCCAGCGCACCGCCTCTCCTCCCACTCCCACAGCTGACTCGGCCGCCCTCCACCATGGCCGCGCCCAAGACCATCACCGAGCTCTCCCAGCTGCAGAACCTCGTCAAGAGAGACCCCGAAGTACGCCCCGCTCCCCTCTTCCCCTCTTCCCCCCTACCCCCTACCCCTACCCCCTACCCCTACCCCCTGCCCCCCCCCTCCGCCCTCCCCCTCCCCCCCATCACAGATGGATGGCCCAGGATGGCTCACCCTCCCCCCCCCTCCCCCACACCCCCAACCCCTACAGAGCTACCGCGAAGAGTTCGACCAGCAGTACCGGCACTTCCACTCGCTGTATGCGATTGTGGTGCTGGCACCGTCCAAGGATACCCGGCACTTTGAAGACCTGGCTACCTTTGTGGCCCATGTCGTCCATGTCTACCCGGACAAGGCTGCCGAGTTTCCGGCGCTGGTCGTCGAGCTGCTGGAGGATCATGCGGCGGCACTCTCGCCGCGGCTGCGCAAGACGCTGGTCCGATGCCTGGTACTGTGCCGGAACAAGGGCCTTGTCGATCCGCTCGTCTCGCTCTCGCTCGCTTTCAAGCTCTTTCGCGTCAACGACAAGGTCCTCCGCGAGACGCTCTTCAACCACATTGTGAGCGACATCCGCAACATGAACAAGAAGCGGATCAACAACAAGGTCAACTCGGCGCTGCAGTCGATGCTCTTTGGCTTTTTGCAGGACGCGTCCAAGACGGCTGCCAAGTGCGCGCTCGACGTCATCATCGCCCTCTACCGCAAGCGGGTGTGGATCGACGCCAAGACCGTCAACGTCATCGCCTCGGGCTGCTTTGCCAAGGACAACACCAAGATGCTCGTGGCCGCCCTCAAGTTCTTTGTCTCTGACCACGATCTCGACCTTGGCGCCGCCGGCGACGACGACGACGACTCGCACATCAAGAAGGAGGAGTTTACCAACGTTACCGCCGTCAAGGCTCACTTTCAGCACTCGTCCAAGACTCGCTCGCGCCAGCGCAAGCTTGAGCGGGCCCTCCGCCGCGTGAACAAGACAAACTCGGGCGAGACGGTGGTGAAGAAGAAGAAGAAGCCTGAGCCGCAGTTTACTGCCATCGAGCTCCTCTACGACGGCCAGTCGTTCGCCGAGCGGCTCTTTGGCCTCCTCCGCAAGTCCAAGGAGCGCTTCGAGGTCCGCCTGCTCATGATGGACATGATTGCGAGGACCATTGCCGCTCACGAGCTGGTGGTGCTCAACTTTTACCCGTTCATGCAGCGGTACATGCAGCCGCACCAGCAGCACGCTATCCTCATCCTCTCCATCGTTGCCCAGGCCGTCCACCCTCTCGTCCCGGACGACGTCATCCTGCCGGTTCTTCAGACACTGCTCTTCCACTTTGTCACCGACCGCTCCTCGGCCGATGTCATCACCGTCGGCCTCAACACCGCCCGCGAGATCTGCCGTCGCCACCCGGACGCCATCACTGAGGACCTCCTCGCCGACCTTGTCATGTACAAGTCGTCCAAGTTTAAGGGCGTCGCCATGGCCGCCCGATCGCTCCTCCAGCTCTACCGCAACGTGCGGCCCGAGATGCTCCACCGCCGGCTGCGCGGCAAGGAGGCTTCCATGGCCATCACCGAGCGCAAGCGCAAGGCTCTGGAGGACGCCAACGCCATCTCCAATGACGACGACGATGATGGTGGAGACGACGAGGCTGGCTCGGGCCGCCGCGTCCGCTTTGAGGGCGTCTCTGACGACGACGGTGGCGATGACGACGGCGAGTGGGTCGACCTCGACGACGCCGACGACGACCCGGCGGCCAGCCTCGCCGCGCCGGCCGAGCGCCTCGACCGCGGCAACATCGATCGCTTCCGCCGCCGCAAGAAGATGACCGCCAAGGAGCGTCTCGAGTGGGTCCGCGCCGGCCGCCCCGAGGCCCGCCACGAGCACTTCCGCGACACCAAGATCGAGAAGAACCAGTCCAAGACCAACATGGAGAAGAAGTCGACAAAGAACTACCTCATGCTGCAGCGGTCGGCCAAGGTCCGCTTCAAGTCGCGCGAGTCGCTCACCGAGCGCAACGACCGCCAGCGCAAGCATCGCCGCTCGCTCAAGCGCCGCCGCAAGAAGTAGACTCGGCTCCCGCTTCCGCCCGCCACGCCTCGTAGTCGTGGACGTGAAAGTAGCCGCCGTTGGCCAGCCCGTGCACCTCGGCAAACGCCGCCCGCGCCGCGCCGCCGGCCTCGCTCTCGTCGATGAGGAACCGAAAGACGTCGCGGATGTCGTCTGGCGCCCGCTGGCCATCCGGGTTCAAATCCGTCGCCACCGAGCCCGGCGACAGCGCCACCACCCGAGTCGCTGTCTCTGGGCCGAGCTCCGCTGCCGCCACCGCCGACAGCCCGTTGAGCGCGTACTTTGAGGCGCAGTACGGGCCGAGCTGCGGAATGCCCATCACCCCCGCCGCCGAAGACATGTTGAGCACCAGATCAGGCAGCTTGTCGGCGTTCTCGACCCGTAGCGCACCCGCAAGCACATTGAACGCGCCCACTACATTGACCTCGAGCACCTTCCGGAGCCCGTCAGCTGTCGCCGCCGTCAGCGCCGCACGCTCGCCCACCACGCCCGCGTTGTTCACCACCACATGGACCTTCCCCACCGCCGACCGCACCGCCGCCACTGCTGCCTCCACCGCCGCCGCCTCGGTCACGTCCGCCGTATGCACCGAGAAGACCGTCCCCTCGCTCGCACCGCCTCCCGCTGCCGCCGCCTCCAGCTCGTCCTTGGCCTCGGCCAGCCGCACAGCATCGCGGGCCACCAGCGCCACATGCTCGGCCTGTTCCTCAGCACAGATCCGGGCCAGTGCCAGTCCGATCCCACGCGAGCCGCCGGTGATGAGCACGTTCCGTCCTGCAAGCATTTCTTGTCTGGGCTTGTTGTTCTGGGGACCGAGTGATGTGCGTGCCTCTGCGTCGTTTTGCCTCCGCAGCCGATCCCGGGCGAGCGCTTGAGCGCTGGCGATGTGCTGGCCATGGCGGGCCAAGGCCGTGCGCTCACTCTGGGAATTGATCAAAAGTGTCCGCCCTGTGTCGGCCCCATCCACCGTCATTGGAGTCACCCGCCTGCCCAGGGGAGGCGGCTGCGGCTGGGGGCTGTCGGTTGGTGGCCGTCGCGGCGGAGCCACGCGTCATACTCGCCAGGGCGACTCACATTGCGCTCGGCAGTCCTCAACAGCTCACGCCACTTCTCACCGACACCACCCAGCACCTTTGGTCCATCTCCTCTACCATGGCCACCCGCCCCGCTCTGGCGGCCTTTCGCACGCTCATGCGCACCCAGCAGCGCGTCTTTGCCGGCGACGCGGCTATGCAAGCCGCGGCCGTCCTCCGCATCCGCGACGAGTTTGCCGCCCGCGCTGCACTCACAGATCCGACGGAGATTGCTCACGCCGTGGCGGCTGCCCACGAAGCCGCCGACTTTCTCCGCCAGAACGTGCTCCAGGTCGAGCGGGCCGAGTCGGCTGCGCCTGCCGATGCCGGAGCCGCCGCTGATGGTGCTGCTGCCGATGAGGTGCCGGTGACGTACAAGGCCACCTTTCACAACGACGTCGAGTGGGGCACCGATCTGCGCGGCGCTGCCGAGCGAGAGGGTGTGCCTTTCCCCACAGACTGCATCGAGTACGAGGCAACGTTCAAGGAGCTTGGCGGCGGTGACGACGTCTCCCTCGCCGACGTCTCTCGGGCCGTCCAGGCCAAGAAGGCCGCGGCTGCCGCTTCCGACCCCTCACCCTCGCCCTCCATCCGCGATCTCCGTGCCAAGCGCAAGGAGCGCCGCCAGCACTGAATCACGCTGCCTGCCCACGCCCATCGCTTCAACTACGCCTGACCACGCCCAGCTCTACAGCCCGGCTTGTTGCCTGCCTATCGCCTGCCCATCGCCTGCCCACCGCCTGTCCACCGCCTGCCTGCCCACCACTTGCCCACGCCCAGCTCAACAGTCAGCCCCCCCTCCCCTTCCCCCCCCTCTCCCTCTCCACATCAATCTGCTCCCCGATCTCCTCGATCCCTCCTGAGCCCCCGTGGACGCACCGTGATGGCGGAGCCGGGGTCAAGGGTGAAAATGGCTGGAGCCCGCGCGCTCTCCAGCTTCGACTTAAACAGTC